GAGCTAAACCCCCCGCCCCCTTCTTAAATATTTTTAATGGACAAAAATAAATGCTCGGCTCAGAAAACTTGAAAGCTGCGGAGGAGAAATGCATAAGCAAATAAAGTTATCAGTGAACCTGGGTCCTAGTCACAGTGTGTAGGTGGCCGTGCGCTGGGCTCCCGTGTGCCCGCGTGTGCCCGTGAAACCCGGCTCGCTGCCCGCCCACAGAGCTCTATCCCTGAGGTCATGGGCCACACTCAGCCGTGCCAGACCTGCGCGAGGCTCCGCGAACGTGTCTGGTGTTTCCAAATCTTCGCACCAGCTTCCAAATCTTCCCGCCAGCTTTGCTGACTGCATAAATCTCCTTAATACATGCTCCTTACGTCCTCAGGATAAAGTCCCTGTCTCTAATTCTCTTTATGACTGTCTGTCTGTCGTACATCAGGTCTGCATCCTTGCGGGGAATTGGTCCGTGTACCTCATACATCTCACTTAGGGCAGAGACCTGCAAGTGAAATTCCTACATCAAAGCCCAGCTACTTTTTTAAGGCTTCTGAGAACACATACATGGACTACACATTTGTATATTTAATTTTTACTTAACTCGTGTGTTAGCAATACTATCTATTTAAGCATATCATGTGTATGACTTATGTATAATTACATGCAATTATAGTAATTCTAATTATATGTAATTTTTTTCCCAGCACCAGAAATCAAACCTGGGCCTTGGACATGGTAGGCACACGTGTCACCCCTGGCCACTTATTTCTGACTTTACTCTTAGACAGGCTCTCACTGAGTGGCCCAGGCTGGCCTTGAACTCGAGGTCCCCGGCTCAGCCTCCCAAGCATACAGTTCTGTGCCGCCATGGCTGATAACGTATTTTACAACTGTAATATTTATAATTATGGAGCACTTACTATCAATTATAAGGCATTTATTAAGCATGTGCTTATATATAAATTTTAATAAATACTTCCCCGTTCCTGCCTTTACCTACTTTATACCCACACATGAGGTCCATTTCACATTGCTCATGGCATGAACGGGTCAGCACGGGTCATTTCAGAGGGACACCGTGTCTGGTGCCCCATGCAAAAACTATAAACCCAAGTTACAAAGCTCAAACCCCACATGAGAGCCCAGAGACTGAGGACCCCCAGCTTCAGACAGCCTGGCTCACCCGGGGAACACCCGGGATGGCAACTGAGTGTCCTCAGCAGCTCTCTGTCCTTGTCTGTCTCTTCCCTGGCCCCACTTTCCTCTGCATCGAGTCATCACTCTGCCCACTTTTGTTTGATGATGTCTCCTGAAGCTCCCCGAGTGCAGACGCAGCCTCTCACTGCCGTCCTGAGGTGGGGTTTTCCCAGGAGTCCCTTGTTAATGTGCTCAGTGATTACGTTTGCTAATATTCTGAGTGAATTATGTTTTTAATGTTTCAAAAACTCTATTCGTGATCGGACTTGTGTGTGGAACCCCACGACAACAGTGTGGGACTGTGACCACAGCCAGAGGGGCGGCCACCGAGGGTCAGGCCAACAAACCTGGAGGAGTCACCAAGGGCTGCCTTGTGGGACGGCTGCCGGCCACCTCCCTGAGCCTGCAGCGGCCCTGGCCTCTGCAGCGTGATTCTGAGTGGAGGGTCAGGAAGATTCTGCCTTTGCCAAAGTTACAACCTGAGTTTTCGCTTGTCCCTAGCAAGAACGCATTGTTCTAAGCCTCCTAAGGCTCTGCAGGATCCGAGCTGCCCCGCCCTTGGGGTCCCCAGAGATTGTGGGGAAGGGGCAGGAGAGATCCCAGCATAACAGGGTGGGAACGCACCAGCCTGGCCTCTGGGGTGCTGGTGAGTGGGGGGTCCACTGGGGAGAGTAGAGGCGCTGGACTCTGTCATCCCATGGCCATGATGGGTTCAGGATGGGGATGAAGGGAGCAAGTACCCCACTCCAGCGGCTCCAGCGGCCACCACGGGAAGTTCGCTTGGACTCTGTCCAGCCCAGTTCAGCTGGAGAGCAAAGGAAGCACCTGATCGGCTTCCAGGTCAAACAAGTCCATCCCGAGTCCCTGTGGTCTCCTCTGGCCTTCACTGTCCCCTCCGCACACTGCGGGGCACCTCTGCCCCGCAGCCCCCAGCCCCCAGCGTCCCCACCCACAGCCGGGTCTCACAGGAACCCCCCGCCTGCCCTGCACTGGCCCCAGCCGTGGACCGGGACCATTCTTCCCGTGTTCTACGCTGGACCCACGGAGGTGCAGGGCCAACCCCACAGACAAGAAGAGTCCAGTGCGTGGCTCTGGATTTCCAAGGAGGCTTTGAAAGTCAGGAGGAGAATAATCATCAAGAAAGCCACGTCTTTGAGTCTCGAAGTGGTTTGAGGATTCACTGGCAGTGCAGGGCAGGGCGTGGGTCAGAACCCCTAGGAGGGCTCAGTCCTGTCTGTGTCCTCACAATCTGGTGGGGAAGGGAGTCCCCACCTGGGGCCCTGGAGACACTGGGCAGGCAGGAGTGGGGGTCCCACGCCCTGAGCGGCAAGGACCACCGGCTGTGACCAGGGCACAGCGTGCTTCACTCCCCCCCATGGCCTTTGGGAGGGGCCCTGTGACACTGTGGGAAGGGGGACGCTGGTCTTGCATTTTCCCTGACCCCAGGGGAGCTACAGTGGGGTGGCCACTCAGGCAGCACTGGGGGGAACCGAAGGGGTGGTTTCTGGGTAGGAGACAGAGAGCTGGGGTGGGCACAAGACCATTGCTGGTTTTTCTGACTCAGTTTTTCTGACTCAGTTTCTAAGGCACAGAGATGCCAGCGGCCGCCCCATCTGCCCCCTGGCACTTGGGGAAGTGTCCCAAATGCCTCACACCTGTGCATCCTGGCTCGGCTGGAAACCTGCCTGATGCCACCCGGCTGAGGTACCCTGAGACGTGTTTCCCTGGGGCTGGGCCAGGGAACCTCCAAATTCCCCGTCCTCAGGAGGGGTGAACTGGCTGTGTCCCTGTGGGTCCATCACAGGTCAGTCACCCCACACGCTGACCTCTCCAGCTCACTGCCACCTCCTGAGACAGAGAGAATGCCATGTCCCCTGGCCAGGGAAAGCCTGCTTCTCAGCACCCCTCCCAGCAGAAGTCCAAAGTGGTGTGGTGACCCCATTTGATGATGAGGGAGTCAGACTCATAGCCATTCTGTAAGTCAGCTTGTGCGTGGCAGCTGTCCACGTGACAGGGCCACACGTGGACCTGGAGTTGTAGGGGGACAGCATAGAAAGCGGGGTCCAGCAAAGGGTAAGACTTCACAAGTTACCTTTTCCCAGCTAATTCTGAGATGGAGCGGTTTCTGTGAACATAGAAGGTAAGGTGGATTTGCCGTGATGGAGCCATCTGAGGGTTGAGGCTGCCGCAGGATTGTGGGGCTTCCCAGCCACTCCCGCAGGGCTGAGATGGTGTTGATGGCTTTCCTTTGTTAAGGACAAAGCTTTTGTAATGGAACAGAGTTGGATACATTTCTTTTCTTTTTTTTTTTTTTTTTTTTTTGCAAAGATGTTTGTCTCTGCCTGGATTTTCAAGGACTCCTTATGGGACTTGAAGAAGAGGTAGAGTATAAAACAATCACTGTAGCCCAGCTGCAAATGATACCTTTTCTCCTCACTGCTGCTCGCCCCCACCCCAGGCTTTGGGTTCATTTCTGCCCAAAGCTCCTGTGGAGTGGGTGGTCTTGGAAAATCCACCGGGCTTCAGGGTCGGGGTTTCCTGGAGAGATGCATAGGGCTTGCTGTCCCTGCAGGGCGTATTCTCCAGCCTGCTCTGGGACCCTAACCCTTCAGGTCGTGGTCAGGAGCATCCAGACAGGATGGTGACACAGACCCTCTGGACACAGGGAAGTCAGCCCTGAAGCACAGGCCATCTGCAGCCTCCTGGTGGGGACCTCTGGATGGCCAGCGGGGCAGTGACCTCTGAACTGAGCCAAGTGAGCACGGAATGATGTACCCAGCAGGGCTGTGCAAACACAGTCGGGCTTGTGTTGCTGTGGCCAGTGCCAAGGACAGCGCTGACCATGCCAGATGCCTTTGGGGCTTAAACTCTGTACAAGATGGAATTCCACTCAGTTTTTAAGCCAAATTGGTGGTCTTGATCTAGGGGAATGAAACCCCTGAACTTGTAGGTGTTCTGTACAAGTTCACGTTCTCTATAATTAAAGAATGAATTTTAGGAATAACAGAAGTGAACAGCAGAATCTATTTATTGAGAGGAAGCAAGCTTCTGGCTGGGAGAGACAGAAGGGGTCCCGAGCGGGTTGCCAAAGACTATTTCCTAGGGACTTTTATAGAGCAAAACCATGAGCTGAGATGGGTCCAAGATGGGAACTGGCAAGGTGGGCATGAGGTGGGATAGAACTATGGTCAACAAGTGAGATTAACTGTTCAGGTAAAATTGATTAAATCGGGGACAATTGGGGAAGTGAGTCAGATAGCAAGGAGACATGCTTAAAGAGCAGTGACTTCCTGAAGGCTTGGGATGGTGACTCCTGGCATCCTCAGGGTGACAGGGAGCTATTTAGAATATCAGTCCTGAGGATGTGGGTGCATTCACTTGATCTTTTGTCTTGAGTCCTGGCCCACAGTGGAGGTGCCTTCTCCCCCACAGTTGCAAGATATCTGGCCTTCTGCAATGGTTCCTACAAGGACCTAGCCCTGTCTAACTGCCTAGAATATTTGTCTAGCTCAGCTGCCTGTGACAGTCTGTGCCAGTCACAATCTGACTCCTGGCCTCTCAGGAAAGATGTCCATGCCCTCCCCTGAGTGACATTTAGACGGTCATGAGAACATAAAGACCACTGATGGCGAACCTTTCAGATGAGAGTGCCCGACCATAGCCCAAGCATGGCAATGAGCCAGTGCTGCAACGAAACCTAACACTGAGGTTTAGTTTAAGAAGAGCAGCTCACTCATTAACGGCTCTTGTTGTTGAAGAAAAGCAACCATCATGCGTGCCATGGGTTCACCACCACTGATCTAGAAAGGACACGACGGTTCACACAGTCAACATGTTTATTTCATGTGCTCCACGACACTGAGTTTTCTGTAGAACCCACAGGGTAGATGCAATGAGCAGCTGGGGATTGAAATACAAATAACTGTATGGAGAGAAAGGCAACCTGTATCCTGGTGACCTGGACATAAATTAAAACCCAAAGGAAACAACATGCTGGCCTTAGAAGGCACTCAGGGATGAATACCAGACAGGATGTCTGCAACCTCAGCCAGAGTCTAAAACTAGCTTGTCTCAAGGGAGATGCACCTTCCGGACCCCTCCCCCAGGGCCACCTCCTAACACACATTCATCTGTGGGTTCCTCAGTCATGAACACAGCACCCCTGTGATCCAGCTCCACGCGAACACACGAGGCTTTGGAGGGACATCTAGTTCCAAGGCATACCATCATCTAAGCCAGGGTCATCTTCACGGGCTCTCAGACCCTCTGTCCTGCCCCTCCTCCCCTCTTCCTCCTCAGAGGTGACTCTAATCCAAGGTCCACTATGGTGGTCAGAAACATGTGAGGCAGGAACAGAGAGCCCTCTGCCCCCTGGCAGGATCAGGATCTGGAACAGAGGAAAGAGAGTGGATGCCTGCTTGGGCTGGCTCTACATTCATATAAATAAATTTGGCTGAACAGATTAAACCTAGTTTCTCAATTATTTTTTAGTACAAAAGCACAATCCAGCCTCTTTGTAGAATGGCCTCATTTTTCATGAACTTGTAGTCTTTACTGAAATTCATCGCATGGGTCTGAAGTCATCAATAGGGGCTGCATGTGGGCTCTTTGGGGACTAAGGTCCGAGTCTACGTGCAGATCTCGGCCACTTGATCTGGGATCCCAGGCATCCAGGGCTCTAGAAGCCAGATGTCGGGTCTGCTCCCCGTGGGAGGGCTGTGTGGCATGGGGAGGGTCCAGCTTGATGTCCACCTGCAGCCCTGGACCCCTGACACTGGGGTCAGAGCTGCGAGGGTGGGGCTGGGAGATGCCAGAGAAAGGTAGGAAGGCGGGCACCATGTGGTTGTCAGCTGGAGTGTATTCCCAGCACCTTGTCCCTGGGCAGCTGGGGAGAAACTCAAGTCATGGGGCACAGCCCTCACCATCACCAGATGGAGAGTCCCGGGGCTTCTGTCCAGGTTCTTGCTGTGCAGCACAAAGAACTGGACAAGACACAGGGAAAGCAATGAGGGGACAATTTAGGGGAAATAGAGAGGAGACACACTCCACAGAGCGACTTTAGGCTGGAGAGAAGGCCCCTAGCAGCCTAAGGATAAGGGACAGGGGTCTCTAGTAACCAGAATCCTTGGCCGGCTTCCCCTCATGCATCGGGACAGACATACTAGCAGACATTCACCAGCCCACACCAGCTCTAACTGTCCTGTGGAAAGACCCCTGGGCCTCCCCTGATGTACATAAAGGGTCAAAACTCAGCCTTTTGATTGGCTGGGCACACATGCAAATGAAGGATGGAGAATAGCATCTTCTGATTGGTCCTGAGGGCAGATCCAGATTCTAATGGAGGACAGAAAACAGACGTTTCCTGATTGGTCCACAGTGTTAAAAAGAAAGTGTGATGTCATTTTGGGTCTGGGTTCTGTGGGAGGCCTCTCCTCAGGAGACTTCGCCCTCAACTGTCAGCTGTGGGTTCTGATCACCCCTCACGTCCTGTGAGGTGCCTCGCCTGCCCCAGCTGGACGCCACATCCACGCAGCCCCTGCACCAGGAGCCATCGAGCCCGCAAAACTCAGCCACAGCAGGGTGGGAGAGGCTCGCTGTGTCAGGGGCCATGACCGGCCAGGCTGGCTCCTTTGCTGGGATCTTGAGGGGAGGTTTGTGGCTCCAAGCAGCACAGCCACCGAGGCCACCAGGGGTCCAATGTGGCACAGGGATGAGTGTGGGCATCCACCCTGAGCTGGCTGCTGACCGGCGCCTGCTGGGCAGCTGAGACCCATTCAGGAGAGCGCATAGCCTGCGCTGGGCTTGGGGATGCAGCTGGGAAGGACTCTGCAGGCTGTCTCAGCTGGATGGAGAGGACCGGGGGCCAAGGTCCCCACTGTGCTAACAGCCCTGAGACCCCGTCCACCCAAGAACGACACGGAAAACACCCCTTATGCAGCTTTGGGCTGCAGTTGGATCTTTTTTTCAAATTCAGTCATCATGATTTTGTTTTAATCAGTATACTGAATTCATAATTGTTCAAATTTAGTCCTGTTCGGCTCAAACCCACTGTTAATTCCTACTTAAATTTATTAGATGGGTGTGGCGGTTCATGCCTGGAACCCTAGTGCACAGGAGGCTGAGGCAGGAGGAACATCGAGCATTCAGGCTGCTCTGGGCTACGTAGTAAGACCCTGTCTCAAAAAAAGCAGCTTTTTCTTTGGTTAATTATTATAAATCGTGCTCATGAGGTACATCAGTTCAGCTTCACTAGAGGAACAGAGTTAATATAAAAGATAGGGACGATTACATAACAGATTTACAGGGTAGGCTTACAAAACCCAGGGCCTTCACACTGAACCGAGTCTCCAGCCTTTTTCCCTTCCTTTGTCTTTTTTATTTTTTTGAGACGGGATCTCACTGAGGCTGGCTCAAACTGTGACCCTCCTGCCTCAGCCTCCCACAGTGCCAGGCTTACCTGCACATCACAGGCCTGGCTCAGCTCAAACCTTCGATGTCACCCAAAGACCAGGGTGTAAAGCCTTGGGCCAGGGTCGTACCACTGGGGGGGCGCCTTTAAAGGGACCCTGGGGTACCTCCTGGGGCCATGCTCTGGGGGTCCTGGGGGTCAGAGTGGCCCCTCTTTCTCAGGGGCCCCATTCTGGCCAGGACTCCCCACCGTGAGCTATAACACAGTGGCCCTTGCCCCACCACAGCCACCAAGGCTCACAGGGCGGGAAACCAGGGCCCCGCAGTCCCCCCCCCCCAACAGGATGCCCAGCCTCTGCCTCCCCTAGGGTGGTGGGCGCGGCCCTGGCACCGGACGCTCCCTGCAGGAAGACGTGGGCGGCTTCCGTGGGGTGCACGGCGACATTTTATTCACTCCCAGCCTGCGCCTCCTGTGTGTGCTGGGCGGGTGCAGGTTTCACAAAGGGGACAGTCCCCCACCCTGCCCCGAGATACACGGCAGCAGCCTGGGGGTCACGGCGCCACTGACCCAGCCTCAGCCCTTCTTAGGGTGGCCTTGGTGACCACCCAGACTCCAGACTCCAGACTCCAGAGCGGCCTCCCAGGACTGAGGCCCCACCCCTGCCCCATCCGTGCCCAGCTCTGAACCCAAGAGAAAGCAGCGTCACCCGCCAGGAGGAGCCAGGCTGCGCCCACCCTCCTGGACAGTGACTGTCCCCGACCCCAGCGCGGGGCCAGGGCGACATGGTACAGGACCCAGGCGCTTCTCCCCAGGCACCCAAGGACCAGGGGGAACAGGGGAGCTGGCCCTCCTAACAGCAAGACCTGGCTCTGCTGGTCTCTCAGAGCGAGATGGCAGGGAAGCAGAAATCACCCCACGGAGTCTGAACAAAACCTGGACCAGGGCACCTTCCCTGCCAGCCCCAGTCAGCAGAGGCACGGGACGCTGCACCCGCCACTCAGGGCCCCTGCAGCCCTGGAGAGCTACGCGGGGCCGCCCCCTGGCAGAGGTCCGTGACTTGGGAGGAGCTCGCCTGTGGCTCCCCAAGGCTGGGAGGGGAAGGCTGGCCACCCAAGACCCAGAGACTCAGTCACCCCGTGGGGCCCCCGGAAGGGCTTCCCCAGCACTGGGCACCGCTCTGGAGCTCTCTGTGCCATGGCGGAGGGGTGTGCAGCGCAGACCCATCCACAGCTCTTCCCAAGTTCAGTTTGTGCCGCTGGACCTGGAGGGAGGGTACCCCCAGAGACAGGCAGGGGCCTGCGCTACGGCAGCCCAGGAGTCCACGGAAGTTAAGTGGCTCCCACCTGCCCTGCCCAGCCCGAGCACCTCCAGCAGGGACTGGACGGACACCTCCAGGGCGGCACATGTGTGCACAGGAGGCTGCAGGGAGGACGCGGTGTCCCTGGGGCCGTCCCTTGTGGCCCCTTCACTCCTCGGCGGCCCCCTCAAGATCCCTGATGAGGCACTGGTAGGTGGCTCTCTCCACCTCGCAGGAGTGCAGCCTGTTCACATAGGCCTTGCCATTGGCCGCAAGCTCCTTCCCCAGCACGGGATCCTTCAGCAGTCTCTTGGCCAGGCGGATGAACTCCTGCAGAAGCGAGGGAGAGAGAGACGCAGTTGGTGGAGGGGACCTGAGGCGCGTGAGCCAAAGCTGGGTCTGCACGGCTCCTGGTCCCCTCCTCGGCCTCGCTCTCCTCCCAAGAAAAGGGCTTCAGGAGCAGAGCGTGCCGGCTGCTCCTGACTCGGCGACGTCCTGGATGAAGAGCACCTCGGGGGTTAGGAAAGCAGGGCCCATGCGTGCCCTGCAGTGTGACCTTCAGGATGACCTTGAGGATGAGGCTCAGGGTGCTCTTCCCCCGCTCTGCTTCACAGCCCCACACACCGAACCGTGTGCTCTCGCTGCCCCTCTGCCAGGACACTTGCTGCATCTCCTGAAACCGTGAGCCTAACTCACGCCTCCTGCTCCCCATGCTTTCAAAGCTGCATGGACACATAACAAGGCCCTGTCCCAAGAGAACAATGTGGGAAGCTGCGCTCCTGATCCATTTGAAGGTAAGCAAATAAACACACCTCTCCTGTTCAATCTGAGGTGTCAGGGGCTGTGTCCAGCACCTGGAAAGCTGACCGACAAGGGTGGGAGCTAATGCAAGGGTTGAGGTGAGGAAAGGTCACAGAAGTGTGTACACGTAGGTGAGCACACATCTGTAACATCTGCACACACACACGAGCTCACAGAGACACCAACACCAACACAAGACACATGTTCACACGCACAAACTCGCACATCTCCATGCTTACACTCACATGCTCACACACGTGTACAGACACACAGATCTGCACACACAAACACGTGCGCACATGCACACACACACACGCTGGGATGATCCTCTGTAACATGCACGGGTGCCCTGGATCACCCTTCCCTCCCTTTCCTTCCCCAGATCAACAAGATCCATTTCTTTCTTGCAAATGACTCCAGACCGTGTCTCCCTCTTTGCCAACCACAGCCTGAGATCTGACAGCCGCGGTTCTCCGGGACCAGGCCTGGCACAGGGCACAGGATCAGGGCACAGCGGCTGTGTGGTCCCACAGCTCCTGATGCAGGTGCTTGGGCTCTGTGGTCAGGTCTGGGTTCAAATCCCCCTTCACTGCTTGGCTTAGCCGAGGCGCTGTGCACAGGAGGTGGCCTGGTCCTGAAGGGGGGACCAGCCTTGGTCCACAGCCCAGCTGGGAGGGGGAGCCCAGCCCTGGGTGCCCTCCCTGCCCAGCCCCGCATGTGCCGCTGACCGCCTCTCCTCTCTTGCTCATTATTTATTGATGCTCACAGACGGGGCGCAGTAATGAGCAGGCTCCTGCCGACCAGTTTTAATATCAAAGCCTTCCTAATTAGGAAAATCAGAATTATTTTGGTATTAAAGTGCATTCAGGGAGAGGCGGGGAGCATTCATTATTTATCACACCTGCTTGTAAGCCTTGAGTCCAGTCCCGAGCCAGGAGCTGGCTGACCTCCCTGGCCACCACCCACGGAGGATGGGGGGGTCCCCTAGCCCCCCGCCCCGTGACCTTTGGTCCTCGGCTGTCAGGGTAAAGATGCTGCTGCCGCCTGGTATCAGAAGTGTTAAATGGGTTACTATGGAGAGGAGCTCAGGGCAGAGCCCCACACAGGGACATCTAGGGGGACCCTGGGCCCCCCAAGGCCCACGTGAACCCCAGGAAGGTGCTGGATTGGTATACACTGCTGTGCTGCCAGAAGTAATGGCCATGTATCTGCAAAATTATTGTTAATTAAACACTGGACGCCTTTTACAGCCAGCCATATAGACTGCAGTATTTATGGGCATAGAGTTATATTTTTATGTATTATGTACACACTTTGGAGTAAACTGGTGTTCTTTCCATAATAAAAACATAACATATTTATCCCCATCTCATGGCAGACCAGCATGCATATTAAAATTATTTGAGAGGTGGTAGCTTGGGTATAGTATTTTACGGCGCTGGTCATATCTCTGATTTATCTAATGTGGGGACTTTGGCCGAAACCCAAGGCCCCGCATGCTGTTCCCACAGGCTGTAAGGCCCTTTCACCACAGCTCCCCGAGTGACAGAGTCTGCAGGGATAGGATGTGATAAATACTCCTTTTCGTGTCTCCCAGTGAGGAAAGCTGAAGAAAGCCCGTCATTGCTGGCCCTAGGACAGACGTGAAGGGCATCATGCTGGACCATCTAGGACCATTCTGGTCATGAGGTCCCTACACAGCCCCAGCACAGGACACTGCTCTGAGAGAAGCCACCATGCTTCGAGGAGCAAGCGGGTGGGGGCGGCGTCACGGGCAGCGCACTCTCCAAGACCACCACAGCCCCCCCAACCCACGGCACCCAGCCTCCCTCTGGGAGGGACCTGCACCCATTTTCCAGGAGGAGCTGGAGCGAGGCGCACACTGGCACTGGCTCAGGCCTGGCTGCTGTGGGAGCACTGGGGCAGGGGCTGTGCTGCTGCGGGGCTGGGGCGCAAGCCCGGTCTGTGGCTGTGTGGCCCCAGTTCTGGGGTAACAAAGCCCTGGGGGGCATGCGAGATGCCTGCACTACAGGGCCCCCCAATCCTGGGAGGGTGGGGTCCTGGGATCCACAGGTGTTGACCTCACCCCGGGGAGGTCTGGACGGCTGGACAGGCCCGAGATGGCCCTCTCGCCTGCCCTGTTTCCCAAGATTACTGTCAGGAGTGCAGATCCGGTTGCTGGAAGCTGCAGACTGTGAGACTCACACAGCGAGACTCAGCTGTGCAGAGGGACCACGGGTCTGAGCTGGTTTTCGTAACATCTTCCGGTGCTCACGTTTTGTGGCACTAAATGGCCACCAAGGACAACAGCTGTGTGCACATGTATGCGTAGGCGGCCACCACAGGCTCCTGACATACGAGCTCCTGACACACTCAGGCATTCACACAGCAGCAAAACCAGCCGCCCAGCTCTGAGGTGCAACACACGGCCAGCTCGAGGGTCCTGCTGTCCACAGGGCCCCGTCCGTGCCTGGTGGCTGGAAAGCAGCCACCGAGCTATGTCTCCCCACGCTGACCCTGAGCACTGAGTGGGCACCTGAGTGTGGAGGGGGTGGTAAGGGGGACCTGCTTTCTCCCTGCTGGGGACCCCACAGTTCCGGCCCGATGGGGAAGCTCCAGGATCAGGGGCTCTGGGGACAGTGCCCGAGCCAGCACCTGCATCTGACAGGGCACTCACGGACCAGCTGGACACAGTGACACAGTATGCGGCAGCCGGCTGAGGAAGGAGGGGTCCTGCACTGCTTTCTGATTGAGGCGGAGCCGGCTCCCAGCCAGCAGCCCTGATGGGGACAGTGTCCAGTTAGGACCTATCGGCCACGACCACCAGCATGTATTTAGCGCCTGCTAGTGGTGGCCAACCTACAGCATGCGGGCCACAGCTGGCTGCCAGTCACCTTTAAAGTTCCACCAGGTTTGCCATCACTGGTCCACACCATGCAGATGAAGGCCCTGTGCCAGGATGTGGCGTCTCCTGTCCCTCGTCCCTCCACCAGCCTGGAGGCCACACCCCACACAGAGCCCCAGAGCATCAGCCCCAGACTCAAGGAAAACAAAACAGCTCCAGGCGCTGTTTTTGGATTTTGGAGCTGCAGAGGGGGAGGGCAGCGGCACTGTTACTATGACTCCCCAGCAGACAGAGCCGGAAGCGCGGGCAGGTGACAGGCAGCAGTCCAGGGCCACGTGTCCCTAAGCCGAGGAAACAAGCTCCAGATGTCTCTAAGGTCAGCGTCAAGGACAGGGAGCAGGATGCAGCCACCGCCCAGAGGGGAGCACAGAGGAGCAGAGAGAGTAGCAGCTCTTTGTGCTCTGAGGGGGCAGGACAGGGTGCTGGGGACACAGGCAGGGACCTCACTGGGCCACCAGGGCTCAGTCAGAGGGACAGAGCAGCTGCCAGCCCGTGTGGCTTTGTCTAGGGGAGGGCGGCTGCCAGGCAGGGTCCCTGGGACAAAGCAGCAAACAGCAGTGAACCCAGGAGGCCGAGCTTGTGGGTGGCAGAGCCTGGCACAGGGGTCTGGAAACCTCCGGTGCACAGGGCCCTGCTGCTCTGCTGGGACTGAGCTGGCCCGGCTGGTGCAGGATCTCGGGGCAGAGCTGCCTACCCCATGCCGGGATGGTGAGAACTCTGGGCTCTGGGGTCTGGGTCCCACCTGCCCGGGTCCAGGCCAGGTCCCAGGGAGGAGCAGGAGCCAACCCACCTCCTAGTGGTCCAAACAGGCAGCACCGAGGGCCAGCAAGAGCACAGCTGGCTCCAAGCCCCAGAGGCCCATGGTCTGCATCTCCCTTCGTTCCCGAGGTGCGAGCCCCACCTGGTGGCTGGACCTGTTCCTGGTGCACATCACAGAGCCCCACAGCCCTTGCTCCGCCCCTGGCCTTCCTGCTCCCCCAGACTCCCCTCTCCCTTCTTTCCCTCTCCTCTCTACTTCCCTTCCCTCCTTTCCTGATGGAGACAGGGGAGACAGATGCACAGAACCCCAGGACAGGCCACCAAGTAGGGAGAGGGAGGAGGAGCTGAGTCCAGGGCCGGGTTCTGGTCCCAGCATGGCAGCTCTGGGGGTAACCCCTGTGGACCAGCAAGGACCCCAGGGGAGGCCCTGCCCCAGAGCCCACTGTGAGCCCACAAAGCCCTGTCCCCCACGGAGCACACTGCCCACCACAGCAGGCACCCACCGCCCCTAGCTGGGGACCCTTTTAATTATGACTCCCACCCAGCTGGGGAGAGTCTGATTTTTAAAACTGATCTCTGACTCCCTGCTGGAAACTTGAGAAGGCAAAACCTGGGAGCATGAAGAACCTGCTCCCCGAGGCCAGCAACATCGCAGGGTCAGAGGACAAATCGATCAGGGCGAAGCCAGAACCCAGGACCCAAGCATGCAGTCACACTGGGCTGCAAGCCCTGGGGGACCCTGCAGGTTCACCCCACGGTTCCCAGCGCTCTGGTCACTACATGGCCACACCCTCCAGCAGGCCTTTGGGCTGCTTCCTGGGGACAGATCTCTAAGGTGACTGGCAGCTCCGTTCTCTGGCTCTGCCCAGTGGACCATGCGGCACCCTGGCTGTGAGTCTGGCTGCCTTCCTGCGGGTGCACAGGCCGCCCTGTTTCCATGGGTCACTCGGGGAGACGGAGGTGCTGGCCCCTGTCCCAGCTGCGAGTGCAGGACTAAAGGGTTTTATAAACTAAGAGCGAAGTGCTGTTGGCCAAGTCATAATGCTGTAAAGGACCAGGGCCAGAAGCCAGGGAGGGGACCTTCCCCGGCGGGCGTCACAGGGCAGGCTGGGTGTCACTGCCGTCCCCACCGGGGCCAGTCACACCCCCCCCATCATGGCCAAGCCCCACCAAGGACCAGCGCATGCTGCAGCGAGGGAAACCAACACCAGTCCCTGAAGGCTCCAGCTCTGCTGAGGACGAGCGTCCCCTGCTACGTCTCCCCCGTCACTCTGTCGTCAGGTGAGGGACAGACAGCATGGGACAAGAAACCTGACCAGGACCACCCAGATTTCAAGCAGGAAACTCAAGACCTGAGCCCCCTCCGGGCTGGCAGGAGTCCAGAGGCCCAACATGCACCTGGGCTTAAAGAACAAAACACTGCCGGGCACAGTGGTGCCCACCTGTAATCCCAGCACCAGGAGGCTGAGGCAGGAGGATCGCCTCATGTTCCAGGTCAGCCTGGGCTCCAAAGTGAGTTCAAGGCCAGCCTGAACTCAGTGCACAGTGAGACTCTTGTCTCAAAAATCCAAACAATAAGTAAGTGAATAAAACAAGAAATCACCCTTCATGAAACGCCGATCACGTGAACACTGAGGACGGGGTGGCACTAACATGCACTCAATGAGTATCAGCTGTCATCAAATTTTCCAAATTCCTTTCCTGTTGCCTAAACACGGAGTCTGCCCGCTCTGCAGGCTTGAGCTCTCCTGTAAGGGTCTGTCCCTGAGAGAGAAAATGGATTCACAGTTTCCATTAAATGGCAAATGGATCTTAATTCTGAAGCTATAAAATGCAGCTGTAAAATCCGCAGCAAATAGCTCAACTCCTCTACGCGGAGAAATCACAGGATTGCTGCGGGGATGAAAAATCGATGCTGAGCAGGCTGGGAAAGCGCCCCTTAAATCGCAGTTTTCCGGGGGTGCAGGGTAGGAAGACAGATTAGCCACCTAGCCTGAGGCGTCTGATCGCCAGGGCTCCAAAGCCAGGGCAGGAGAGTGCCCAGTCAGACCGCCTTCCTGACGGCCCCCGCCAGTCTCCTCCGAGGCCTTGAGCAGCTGCCAGCGGCTGCCTCACCCCCACGGTGGGCACTGAGGGGGCTGGCTGCAGGGGGCTGCTGGGAGAGCAGCTCTAGCAGTGCCAGGGGACGGAAGTGCCGGGCACAGGGGCCAAGGGGGCAGCTGGACCAAGGGCAGACTCCTAATTCCGGGGCGTCTATAGCAGGGAGGGGCTCGCCCTGCAGCTCCAGGGAAAGGTGACCTGTGGGCTCTAGCCCCACCAGTGAGGCTGGCTTCCTCAAATGCACCCTGCTCAGGTCTTCCTGCTGGTGGCAGAGGGAGCCTGGGGAGGTCCCCTCCGGCGTCTCTTGGGTTCTGTGAGCCCAAGGTGACCGGGGCTGAGCTGGGTCACAGGCCTGAGGGCCACAGGCTCCCCAGACAGGAGGATGCCCTTCAGGCTCTGGAGATGATGGGGAATCCAGTCCCTTTCCAGCTGCCACCCGGGTCCCTGCTCAGCTCTGAGACGCTGCCCCAATCCCCTCACAGGTGGCCCCTGCACACCCCAAACCCCCAGTCTCTGAGCCCTTCTGCCTCTGACCTCCAGCCCACACCTAAAGGTCAAGTGTCTTCGTATTCTTAATTAAAGTCTAAAATCTACAGCAGAGCGGGCAGCCCTGAGCCCGCACGGATCTGGAGAGTGGGTGGGGTCATCCATGCTCTTCACAGTATACCAATGGAACCCATGAGGCCGCTGACCTGACAAGGACACCCCTTAATGGATGATACGCTGGTGCTAACACCGGGGCGGCACCTACGGGAAACTCAGCTTTCCACACGGCAGCCATGCGTGCTTAGGGTCCCTCTTCCCTAAGCTGACGCCCCACCACAGTCCCGGGCTGAGCTAAAGCCCCCATCTGTTTACAAAGCATCAGTTCCAAGCCTGCGCTGGGTACAGTCTGCTCTCGACTATGAAGAGAACAAAACCAAGCGTCTAGCACATGATTTCAGGCTGTGAATAAGGATGGCCCCGCCTCAGTGAAACCAGAGAAGTTCTGTTTTTTCAAACCTCGTGTGCAAAGCTAACGCAGGAGTGCGGGAGTCAGAACAGGCCCGCAGGGAACTCTGGGGTGGCGGGGGCTGACCAGGTCCCACGGCTCCAGCGAGGCCAGGAACTGCCAGAGATGACTCGGACCGGACAGGTGGTGGGGGCAGCACAGGAGACCTCCCAGGCCCTCAGGCTGTTCCCACCCTGTGTACCCTTCATGCATCGTCAGGACAGTGGCCAGGCTTTCTGTGGCTCCAAAGCTGACTGAAGAGTAAACTAGGCTGGTGGGAGAGATGGGGACATGGGGGACACGGATTTACCGGGCTGAGAGGGTGCCATGCTGTCATATGGGTCCTGGTGGGCAGCCCGGGGAGGTGACCACTGCAGTGGCTTCACACACGGCTCCATTTGGGCCCTCGTTGGGCCCTCCTGTGGGCTCTGTCACAAGGCCAGTGCTCGTGTGTGCAGGTCCCCAGATCCCTCCTCACCCTCCCGCTGATCCCCAGCAGGGGAGTCCCTCACAGCAGCATGCAGCATGGCCAGGACAAGGGTCCTCCCCCAAAGGAGGGTGGCTGCACCCCATTCATGCTCAAACCCGTGGCGGCAGGAAGGCGGGAGTGGAGGAGGGACCGTCATACTAGGGGAAAGGGAAGCCATCCTGCACTCAGGTCTGCTACGACACAGCTTACCCACCGAATTTTCAAATGTTCAAGTCTTGATTTTTAGACTTGACTCCCTGTGTCTCTGAGTAGAAGCTTTAGTAGCTGTGAGCCGCCCTGGTGGAGGGCCCAGCTGAGCCGCGGCCCTGACCCCAGCCCAGCTCTATCAGCCCCTCCTCAACCCCAGGCACTGGGAGCTGGTTCTTAGGGACACAGGTGACTTGCGCAGGGACCGAGGGTTTCAAATGCAAATGTAGTGGATGCTTGCGAGTGCGTCCCTGTGTGTGGGAACACAGTGGGCACCTTATGCTGAGTGACACGGTCGTGGGCACCATGGGAGCCTGAGTAACCCTAACCCTAACCCCAACCCACGGCACCCTCTGCGGACTACACAGCCCTGGTCTCTTTTCTGACACCCACACGTGCTTCTCTGCACACCCTTACCTTTGATTCAGGGGTGGAAGTGAGGACATGTGTGTGTCCCAAGAGCTGACAAATGCTCCCTGAATACAAGACTGCACCCCTCAAGTCCGGTTCTGGGGTGAGGAGCTGGAGCCCCTGGAGGTAAGCGGCTCCTGGGCAGTGCAGATCTGAGCTCCTTGCCTCCTTCCTGCAGGGAGCTGCACAGGCCACACACTGGGGGCTCCGAGAGGCCGCCGGGTGCAGCGCTCTCCACACAGGTGGGAACCCCACATGAGGGGGTGGGGACAGAGCTCCCCTCACCTGCGCATCTGCAAACAGCAGCCCTGTGACTTGGTGCGTCACCACAGCAGCATTCCCTGGGATGTTCCTGGCCAACACGGGGACCTCCAAATCCATGGCCTGTGGGACAGGGGAGAGGAAAGGTCACTCAGGGCCCGGTGACGAGATGGGCAGCTAGAGAAGACAGGGCCACCTTGACTGGGCTGGGCTCCCAGGACAGACCCGGCCAGCCCCAGGTTGCATCTCCCGTGCACTTCTGAACCTCAACCACCTCTTGTGCTGGGCTCTGGATAGGACATGGTGACATCATTATTGCAATGCCACAGAGACTGCACATCTGTGTCCCTCTGAATCCCGTCACGGGCCACTTTGCATCATGTTTAATGCCACCTCTAGTGTCCCCAGAGGGTGACTATGTTTTAGCATGGGCACAGTGCTCACCCCACACTGGGCACATCTCTCTGGCCGGCAGAGTGGCACCACCTATGGCTCCCATCAGTCATGAGGCAGCTGACCCTCCCCTAAGGTCTGGGGATTGTCCTGTGATGTCCTGCAGCCTGGCCCCTGCTGGCCAGGATGCCCAAAGCAGAGCACACAATGGGCTGGGGGCAGTGTTTCTCTGGCTCCTGCAGTTGGGGGGCCTGATCTGCAGGGCCATGGAGCTGTGCCCCTTCCCGTGGACTACCCCGCCTGCTGCATGGCTCCCTCATGGCTATGGACCCCCCGGTTGGCCTGCTGCAAGCAGGCCAGAGAGACATTCCCCAGATCTGGAAGCAAGGCTGGCCTGCACCATCAGCAAACCTCCAATCCAGCTCTTGGGCAAGTTCAAGGCCACCCAGAGTCTCAGTGAGACCAGGTCTCAAATAAAAAGAAACAACTCTGGGCTTCAGGAGTTGTCAGTGTCCAACTTCAGCCTCTTGGAGCAGGATGGGGTGCACACACCAAGTGTGTGGGGTACCAGCGTGCATGCTGACGCCCCCTACTGCCCGCTCCAGAGGCTGTGTGGTTCCCACCATCACAGACCCACAGATGGGGATCTGAGAGAGCAAAAGCCCACACGGACAAGGCAGCTCCTGGATATGACACGGGCGGGGAGAAGCCTGGCCTGATCCGCATGGAAGCCAGCGTCACTGCACGGTCCTCTCTGCAGCACGGGAAAGGCCGAGGGGAGTGAGCCTCGGGCCGGGGACCCACTCTGCACCTGTGTGTCTCTGAACACACCTGATTCAGCAGCGAGCTCTTCCATCTCCTGTGGGGTGGGACACCCATATCCGACCTCCTGGGAAACCTTGGGCCAGCGACCGTGCACAGCAGGACTCCAGAACTCCACTTGCCCCAGGGTGCGGGAGGGAAGCTTGGCGCCAGCCACAGCCATGGCAACGGAGCTGGTCTGTGAGCAGAGGCCCCATCGGTGAGGGTGGCTGGCTCGGCTTCGCACGGCGCTGCCCGCATCCTAGTGCCTGAGTCACTGGTCCACCTTTCCTCACAGACAGCAGCTACCAGGCTGACGATGCTGAGGCAGGCGACTCGGCCTGAGGGAACGCCAGGCTATGGACAAACCAGTGACTCATGTGCAGACAGATCCCACATCGATGGCGCAGGGCGGAAGTGTCCCCCTGGGGTGCCGCGTGGGGCTGGGGCACAACTGTTTGAGGTCAAGGATGATTCAGCACCCGGACAATGCTCCCAGCAGCTCCCAGCAATCCTCCCTGCAGCTCCCAGACCCAAAATACATGCTGGTGGCGTCTCCCTCGTGTGCTGGGACAGGAGGACCAGAACTCCACAGTGCACAGGCTGGCACTGCCACACACACGCAGCTGTCAAAGTCTGGCCACCGCGGCCTCTGAAAGGCTCTCTTGGGGTCTCAGCTGAGGCTCAGGCGTGGAGGTTAGGGGTACCACCCTCGCCTCAGCTCTGGAGACGAGTTCTCCTTTCTGATGGGCACAAACCTACGGGGACAGGACAGCACACGCCTGTGTGTGGGTGTGTGTGTCCATGTGTGCCCCTCTGTGTGTGTGTGCGCGCCGAGTCCACGGAGGCACAGCTGATGAGACTGGGTAAGAAAACAGTCCGGCGAGTTTGCCCCATGTGCCAACCCAGTGCCACCGACCCCAGCTCGAAGCGGCCTGTGTGCTCCGGAGTCCTCACCCTCTGCCACAGCCAGCTGCCGTGATCCCCAGACAACAGCATCGTGCAGAGGTCGGAGCTCACTTCCTCCCGAGCGCCATGCGCGGGCTCCGCAGCCTGAATCGGTGCTGATGAAGGGCAGCCTGGCCCGCCTCCGAAATCAGCCGCATTCAAAGCCTCTGCCCAAGGTTATTCTGGACGTTTCGCAAGGAACGCAGCATCAGCGTCTGGATGGCCCGAACTGCAGCAGCTTCTCCCCTCTGCTGTGAGCGTCCAACGGCCGCTCATCCGCAGCACCACCCCGAAACCTCTGCACCTCTCCCTACGAAGCCGGAAAACCGCGTCTGCACACAGAGGTGCGAGTCAGCAGCTGCTCAGAGCTGGCTGGCGTCCTGCGGTCCTGCACGCGCGTTCTGAAAGCTCACGCTCGGGGAAACGTGTCTCCTCCGTGACCGTCAGGGATGCACAGTGCAGGTTGGTGCCGATCCTCCGGAGACTGGGGTGGTGACGGCCCTGAAGGTAAACAGCGCCACCAAGCTCGAGGGGCAGGGGTCCGGCCTCTGTCACCTTCCTCTGTCTTTGGGTTTCCAGGTTTTAGTCTCTTTTGAATGATGCCAATTTTAAAGAAAATATCAGACCTAAAAAAGTCAGTTATTTAAACCTGGAAGAGGGTTTACCACCGTCCCTGGGATACCAAGGCTTGCGAACCGCACCGTGGCAGTAAACCCTGTTCCCTGCAACGCTATCCGGAGACGCATGGCTGGTGCTGTAGGTGCTCGTGGAGGGGCAGCAGCCCCGGCTGGGGACTTGGGCTCTGAGCGCCAGGCCTCCTCCTCTTTATCCTTCTCCTTCGCTGCATGCAGGTGTGCCTGTGTGCTGTGCACGCTGCTGCTGGAGACCCCTGCATGCTGGGCTGTGTGCCGGCCGTGTGATGAGTTGGGGTGTGCATGGCTCGGAGGGGGCACCCTCAGCCCCAGCTGTGCCGAGCGCACCCACACCTGCTCTCGCTGGCTGCATGCAAAGGGGACGCAAGGGCCATGCCCTTCCCAGGAATGGACTTGGCCAGCGGGGCCTCTCACCACAGCCCCAGCCCTCGGACAGAGGGCTGCAGAGCCAGGCCGGGAGGCAACACCTGGCCAGAGCAGAGCAGCAGGCAGGACGGGAAGAGCTCGGCCTCGCCCTCCGTCTGCACTGCCACCCGTGCACAAGGCCAGCCCCTTGCTCCTCACTGGGCTCCGGGGTTTCAGCGTAGCCAACCCCAGAGAGAGCAGGTCAGCAAGAGGCAGCTTCCTGTGAGAATGCAGTCCTTACGTCCTGTCCCCGCCTGGGCCACTCTGGCGCCCTTCTGTCCAAGGGGCTCGGGGTCAGCCACACCCCAGCTCTCCTTCACCCCACAGCTGGCACCGGAAATGGCCACCGGAAGTGAATGGACAGTTTTGAGTCCTGAGAGGACTTTAAACCTTGCAGGTGATGCTTTGTGGTGGCAGATGTGACTGTGACGGTGGTGTAGGACAGGCCACACGCCCTCCCTACCTCCAGGATGGCGGCCGACATGCCCTCCGACACCGAGCTGTTCACCAGCGCCGAGCACCGCTTCAGGGCCGCGTGCAGGTCCCCCTGTGGCATCTCTCCGAGCAGCCGCACTCCGTGTGCCCTGCAAGACAGGGGTGGGCAGTGGTTATAGCAGGGAGCGCGTGGGCAGGGCTGCAGGCGTGGCAGGATGACTTCGGGAGAAATGCTCCTGATCAAAGAGATAAGCCAGACTTGATGGGGCTCAACTGCCATCCAGCACTCTGGGAGGCTGAGGCAGGAGAATTCCAAGTTCAAGGCCAGCCTAGGCAACTTAGCAACTTGTTGAGATCACCCTCTCGGGCCGCACTAACCAGCCCTGCCTCGCCCTCGCCCACACACACAGCAGCTGCCTGATGGGTGCTATGGTCACCTCGGCACCTGAAGGACAGGGACGGAGACAGGGAGTCAGCACTGGCCCGCCCTGAAGGCCGTGCTGGTCTTCAGTGTGCCACTCACAGGTGCCCGTGGGGCAGCTGCAGGGTCTCTGTTCCTGCAGGCAGAGGCAGGGCAACCCATGCTGGGGTCACGCTGACCCAAGAGGCTAAAGCAGTGTTGCCCCTCACCCCAGCAGGGGGAGACAGGGTCGGCTGTGGCCATGTGGGCCCTGAGTCATGAGTCTTATGGGTTTTTGCTGAGGTCAGTGAAAAACAATACATCTCCCAGCCTTTCCCTAAGCGTCTCTCTCCTGGGAATCTCCAGACTCCCAGGCTTCAGGGCCCCAGAGGGACTAGGGACTTGGTGCCGTGATGGCAGGTGGGTCCCTGCTGCCCAGCACAGCCTCCCCTTCCAGCCTCACCTCACCACGCGGGCTCTCACTTCCCTGGTGAACGCCGGATCCACCTGAAAGCAGAGGAGGGGACTTGAGCAGGGCCCGAAGGGGCGGGGCCCCCGAGGATTCCGGGTCAGGCCTGCAGGCCAGGCTCAGCTGGCCAGGGAAAGGGCACAGTGCCCGGAGTGAGCCAAACAGCAAGAAAAACAATGACCACTGCCGGACAGAGGAGGAGGGGAGGGAGGGCTACACACGAGGGACCACAAAGCGCCGTGAATGTTTAGACTGCGGAGCTGTCACGGTGACACACACCGGACTGAGCCCAGGACTTCGCGCCCAGCTGTGCCCCCAGTCTGCCCATCATTTTTACTTTGAGATAGGGTCTCAGTGAACCGCTAAAAGCATTCAGACTGGGCTCGAACTTAACAATCTTCCTGCCTCGGCCTCCCGGAGTGCTGGGGTCACAAGTGTGTCCCACTGTTATGGACTAAAAACTGGGGGTTACCTTAACACAAGCTGGATTACATCAGTGTGGTGCTGAGTGTGGATGTCCCACCTGAGGAAAGTTGCCAGCATAAATAGAGACATGGAGAAAGAGAAGAGAGACATTAATGCATTACTGCATTGAGGCATTGTGAGTTCTCCTCCGAGTTGCTGTCTAAGCGGTTGGCTCTCCTGGAGAAGCTCTGGTCCTCACATCGAGCATTGCTTCCTGGCTCTGGAGGGGAAGACATGTGCCGCTTGGTCTCCAGGATGAACTCGTCATACTTCTTCCTGGCATGTACCCGACTGTGCTTGTCCTTGGAGGAGCTCGGGGCCTCCGTGTCGCTGAGGATGGCTGTGGTACCTTTCAGGGCAGCCCTGGTCTTTGTTGTGAGTGTGACTTCTCGGCTCCAGCGTAGAACCCTCATCCCACCAGCACAGCTCCTTCACCCCGCTGGCATGGACTTTCTGGCTTCCACCACTGACCTTTGGGCCTTCCCAGCACAGATCCATAAAGAGACCGGCATGAGTTCTTCCTGTGGGCTCTGGACCTCCAGCTGGACTTGTGAGAGACACTGTTATGGGCTCTGAGTCTTCTTCTGGACTCATGCAGGACATTGCTGCAGAATCCAGGCCCTTGGCTGAATATTCTGGTTCTTTAGTGTTGTGACAGGTTTCCTGCAGTTTCCTGTGTTAACTCTGGGTGATCATCATACAATAATATTGTAAATTCCATGTCCTGAGCTTAATTGTTCTCACAACTGCTGACTACAGCAACCACCATGCCTGGCTTTGGGCTTCACGTTTTATACAGACTCATACGTAAGCGCATAGAGGACAGAGACAGCCTGGTGCCCACTGAGGAGCCCTGGGCCTGGTTTCCTCACCCTGTGGCTGGAAGAGGAGGAGGAGTAGTCACAGCACCCGGCCCTGGTGGGAAGCAGAGGATGAGGTGCAGACCCACTACACGCAGGGCTCTGACCCACGGCGTCCGCCCCAGTCTGCAAGCTGCAGTGACACATTCCCAGGCAGGGACAGCGGTCAGGAAGAAGCCCAGCTAGGCCAGGAGGATCTGGGTAACCCTGGGCCACACATGTCCGTCCCACGCTGCCCACTCCATGCCACAGGACAGAGGCAGTGCTGTCCCAAGCTGGGGACCTCAGAGCTCCAGGCGGCCTCCTTCCTGCAGTGCCCTGGGCACCTGGCACTTTCCACCTGCATACCTGCAGCCACTGCAGACACCTTGGCAAAGTCAGTGTTCAACTACGCTGGCCGGACCCCACTGTGACTGCTGGGAACACGATTCCAAACAACTCAGAAGCATCTTCAGTTTGGCAGGGGTAACACAGCCCCAGAGGCTGCCTGGGCGCCGGGCAGGGGTGAGCATTTTGGCACCCCACGCACCTGGCCTCCTTACTGAGGCACCCGCAGGCCAGAGAGAAGGTGGATTCAGTTTCTGTTCCTACTCACACCTGCAGCAGGGCTGAGCTGCAGACAGAGCAGCTTTACAGCCTGCGGTCCCACTGGCTGAGAGGGCCGGCTGCACGGAGCCGCTGTCCAGAAGCCTGACCTCACTGCCTCCTGAAGGAAATGGGCCAGGTGCCTGTGCGGACCCTGGAGTGTCTGGGCTCCACCTGAGAGCTGGTCGCGCTGATCTGAGTCTCATCCCTGTAGCCCCGCAGCACCAGGCAGCAGCAGTGTGAGCGGCATTGAATGTGCGCACAGCACAGGACCTTTGAGATCGGGCCACAAGCGATCTGCTATGGCACCCTCCCTGTCAGTAGTTACTACTCACGGCCGCTCACTCCACACCACACTCACGCACAGCCTTTACACCCAACGCCTTGGCCCCCTGGGGAACCCCACCGTCACTTTCCTGGGATGGCTCAGCTGAAAGCCCCGGCCAGTGTTCACACACAGGCAGCTCACAAGGCGGAGGACGCCTGCCCACCGAGCCTTCCCCATCAGTCCTGAGCTGTGTTCTGACCTCTCCAACCATTGCAGCTCTGCCCAAGACCCACAGGCAGCACCCTCTCCGGGGACCAACTGTCCCGCCCAGGAGGGCGTCTCCGATAACTGCCACACTGCGGCTACCTTTGCCACACCCGCCCCTTCCCCACAGCCTGACCTCACGGTGCCCGCAGCCCACATCTGTGCCTGGGGAGCTCTGCTAAAGGGGCGATTCCCAGCTGACCCTGTTTTCCACCTCCCTGGGCGCAGCTCACCGGAAACAACTGAATTACGCGCTAACCCCGCAAGGAGAGCCTTCCCTCCACTTGACCTGAGTTTGCACATGAATATTTTACCCACAATACTTGTAGCTAGAAGTTGCTCTTTGTAATTCTATTAGCGTGTGCCCATCTCCTGATTTAGGGAAAGACATTTTCCCCGAGAAAAAAAACCCAGTTTTACAAGCTCGCCGCAATACCCAGCACTTTAACTGAAATGTAGTGGACGGTCCAGCAGCAACCCGTAGGGGAAATGAGAAACTGCATTACCTCTGCGGGGTTCACCTCCCCGTCAGTTCCCTTCAAAGCTCTTAGTGAAGCCAAGGAGAAGATAACAGGATAGGAGAAAGGCGAGAGTGGGCATTTTTATTTAATGAAAGCGTGTGATGAAATTTTTAAAGGCAGAAGCACCGTGGGCAGCAAGGGAAACTCTCGACGCTCTCCTTGTGTGTTTCTAGCAGGACACAGCTGTGTCCTGGGCTCCGGGAAACCATCTCTGATAGAATTTGCACAGACAGTTGCACAGCTGTCAGGCCCTGCACAGTTCAGGAAGCTCCCAGCCAGGCTGCACATACAGCTCACCCCGGGACCCAGAGATCTGAGTGCCTGTTGCTGGGGCAGTGCCTCGCCTGTGGGGGACGGAAGGGCAGCGTCAGTGCCCAGTGGGTTCTGGTCAACACCGAGAGGGCCGCAGCCCTGAACCTGAGCTGCTGGACATCACGGGAAACCGTGAGGCTGGGACTCCAGGCTCAGCACACGGGTTCTGTGGGGCGGGATACGGAGTTGGGAGCGCCCCATAGCCATCTGACACTCACAGTCCGCCCCCAGCACACAGCGGTGTGGCCCCTGCAGGAGCCACACCAGTGACGATGAGGACGGAACCCAGCCTCAGGGACACCATGCACAGCTGTCTCAGGACACCTGCTCTGCTGCTCTGGAACAGCTGGCAGAGCCGGCACAAACAAATTAAAGATCACAGGGGCGACACTCCAAGGCAGACAGGTGGGGCTGCTGCTAGGGACCACGGGACTCACCCCAGGCTGTCACCGCAGCTCGTTCATGTCTGTGTCTCTGTACAGAGCCTGCCAAAAAGCTGCATGTCAGGGAGAGAAAACCTTGTCTACCACTGCAATACCAGTGTGCTGAGATGTCACAAGCGAGGTGAGTGCACGTTACCTTTGGGCTCGAAGAGGTGGCCGTGAGCTTCCAGGCGTCCATTGGTACGGTGAATGGTGGACGCCAATTTACACAGGCAGACACAGGACAGAGACGTGGACGTGCACAGGGATGTAATGACACAGATGTGGGTGTTTGGATAGACAGTTGTGGATAAAGACGTGGCCTTGCTATGGTAGAGATCTGCAGACACAGGTAAGGAGGACACAGATGTGGACATAGACACAGAGACGCAGCCACGGGCATGGCTATGGGACAGAGGCGCAGACACAGGAGGGCCACCGTGCTGACACCCCAGCACACAACGGAGGAAGCAGACGGAGAACCCAGCATCTCTGCGCGCTGCTCTGGGTCTCACTCGCAGGTCCCCTCGGCGCGTGGGCCAGACAGTCACGTGGGTTCCCAGAGTCGGCACAATGTCACTGGGGAGGGGGGGGAGCACCTTCTCCCTTTCCCCAAGGAAAAGCACGGGGACCTGGGAGCCCAATGTAAGAGCTGGGTCGTCCCTGTTACCGGGAGAGCGCACAGTCCTCCCGCCTGACTCCCCATGAGGAAACACTCCCGCCTGCATGGACTGTTTGCTAGTTCTGCTCTGACAGCTGAGCACTGTTCCCCTGTTGATACCGCTCTCTCCCTGATGCTCAGGGCCCCGACTCCCCTAGGGGAGGGGGTCCTGCCCGGTGCCCTCCTCCCAGGCAGGGCAGGCAGGATGTGACAGGGACATCCTCACCCTCCTCCCAGCCTGACACCAAAGTGCCCAAGCAGCCCACTTGTCTGCCCTCCAGGGAGGCCTCTTGGTGAGACTTCCCGCTCCAGGGCTCCCGGGCTCACTGTGTGCCCATAGCTGCTTCCCAGCCCTGGGTCCCATGACGTCCTTGTGCGGAGGTCAGGATGAAGCCACCTGCCCTGGCCATAGGACTGCACGGCGTCCTCATGGGAGGGCGGAAGCCAGAAGCAGCCACTGTGAGCCCAGTTACTCCCCAGCCAGGCCGGGCTCTCCTGACCAGGCCGGGCTCTTCTGACCAAGTCGAGAGGCAGGGAAGGAGCCCTGCACACGCCCAGCCCTCAGGGGTTAGCAAGGAAACACATGGGCCGAGGGCGGTGCTTCGGGTGTCACCAACGGTGAGGACTGCAGCGGCTACAGTGCAGTCTTCACAGCGAGGATCCGCATGCGAGGATCTACATGTGCCCCAAGGCCTGGCCTCTCACCCGCTTCTCATCAGCACCAGCTGGTGACTCTAACCCTCCAGTAAATGCTCAAAGTCAAGTGGACCACGGCTTTGCTCTTCCCCGCTCTGGGCTCAGAAGTGATGCTAAATGGAACACTTGACGCTTAAAATTAATAGCTGTTTGGCCATTTTACCATGACCGAAGGGAGAGCGGGCTGTAATTGGGAGGGCAGGAAGCAGGCTGAGAAGGGGCCTGGGAAGCAGCACAGGGCCAGCCTCACAGGCCTGCACCTCAGGGTGACAGGCACAAAGGGACACCCTCCCCAGGGTGGCCGGCTCACCGCAGCGGTACAGAAAATTGCAAACTCAAACATAAGAGGAAACATGTAATGTAGGTATGAATGCGTGTGTGTACACAGTGCATTACTCTGGTGTGCATATGCATAATGGGCTATGCATGTGAGTGGTGTTTGTGCAAATGTCTGCCCAGTGGGACGCTCTTGTGTGTCTGTTGCCCATATATGTTTCCACATGTGTGCAGGTGCACAGTGGTTTGCACCTGTGAATGTATGCAGCAGGTTATTCCATGAGTGTGCATGCGTGTGCAGGCGCCTGTCTGTGAAGCACACCGCCACCTTCCCGAGGGCTGCCTGCACCTCATCTCCCTCTCGTCAGCTCTGCACTCGGTGATGCGCCCCTCAGAAAGGGGGCTGGCCGTGGGCACAGCGTCTACACCGCAGACACAGGGAAGCAGAGCTTCCAGGGATCTGCGCCCCAGCCCTGGACAAGTGTGGACCGAGGCACTGCCTTCGGATCCCGAAATTGCGACCAGACAGGTGCAGGCGCATTCAGCCCTACAGACTCGGATCAGAGGGAAACAGTCACAAAGTGCCTGCCTGCAGGGGCCGCACATGGGAATCACAAACCCGGAACTCACAGCCAGGGCACTGCCTCTCCAGCTTGCTTTGCTCAGCCCGGCCAACTGGCTCTTGGAGTTGTTGGTGCAGTTCCAGCACCGTCCCGGGTGTCCCAGGGCATGGTCCAGTTGGGCTGGGGTCCAGGGTGAGACCCATCAGAAACAGCACCCCTTCCCCTTCCTGGCGAGTGACAGCTACAGCTGGGGTGTAAACCCTGGACACCTCCCTCTGCTCCCAGAGACATCCATCCTGCCTGAAGCAGGCTTGAATTTGGACCAAATTGGATTTGAACTATTACCAGCTCTGAATTTGGGCCAATCAGCAGTCTTGAAATTGGACCAGTCAGCAAGCTTCAATTTGCATCAATTAGGAGTCTTGAATTTGGGCCAATCAGGAGTTTTGAATTTGGGCCAATCAGCAGTCTTGGAATTGGATCAATCAGCAGGCTTCAACTTGGGCCAATCAGCAGCCTTGAATTTCAGCCAATCAGTAGTCTTGGAATTGGACCAATCAGCAGCGTTGAATTTGGGCCAATCAGCAGTCTCAGGTTTGGACCCCTGGCAGACGCACCTGGCCCTCTGCAGACCCATCTAAGCAGTGCCCCTGCAGCAGGTGTGTGCCACTCAGCTGGAGCTCAGCACTGGAAAGCAGAGATGGCCCGCAGTGGCACTGCTGGTGAGAGACAGAGCACGCCCCTCCCCAGGGAGGCCTCGGTGAGTGGCTGCTCTCGGCAGGTCGCACCCAGCACCTGCATGCAGAACCTCAGGCACCCGGTGGCGGACTCCGTCCTCAGCTGGCACTCCAGTCTCTGCCCTCCCCAAGGACCCAAGTAGGAGGAAAGAGAAATGTCTCAAAAGCAGGGAGACAGCGGTGTGGTGGCCCAGGCCTGGAACCCCAGGCCCGTTTCTAGGGAGCAGGCGGCCCGTCCCTCCCGTGAAGCCGTGACCGCCGATGGCACCTGCTGCCATCCTGTGGGGGCCAAGTGGCGGCTGAGGCCACAGACAAACACCGGGCTCGTGCTCTGTGGCTCCTTCCCTCCCCTCTGTGGTCACCGGAAGCAGCCTCCAGCCGTCACTGCCCAGGGAAAGGTTTCTGCCACGTGTGGGGCCCGAGTCTCTTCCCCCAGCAGGCTTCACCGAGCCTGGGTCAAAGGCCTCCCACCCCACGCACCGCACTGCCGCTTGTTTCACGCGTGTCGTGGTCAGTTCGATTTATCTTCAAGGAAAGCATCCCTAATTGGGAAGCCTCCCCATGCGCTATAAATACACCAGCAGAGCAGACGTGAAAACATGGGGATAGGGGCTGGGGATTTAGCTTAGCGGCATAAGCACCTGCCTTGCAAGCCTGTGGTTGTGAGTTCGATCCCTGGTACCGATAAAAAAGAGAAAAAAAATATCGGGAGAGAAAACCGCACTTCTAGATTCTTCCTGGACACCTTCCCTGCGGATGGCTCCGAGCCCCTCGGTCAGTGAGAATTTGAGCTTCAGACTGAAACTTTCCCTTCCAAATATGCTCTTCAAACACAGGGGGGAGAAAATGACAGGAAAACAGTAACTATACCCACAGGGCCTGAGGTTAATTAGTGCACTGGGAACGATCTCGGGGCTGCCCCAAGGCGGACCCCTCTGCACGCGGCGTGTGCGTGAGCTACGCCAACACACGCGGTGGACTCGAGGACCCTCTTCCACATGGTGCGGTCGCTCACATTCTCACCTGGCTGCCTCACTGGCTTTCTGGTCTCTTTCCCCAAAGCCTGGGTAACACCAGGAAAGAACTGATGGCTCCCTGGGTCCCTGGAAAACTAGAAAAACCACACAGACAGGCAGGCCGGACGGGCTCAGAGAAGTTGTGCTGAACCCCAAGGTTGGAATTTTCCAGAATACCGCTGTGCAGAGCAGCCGCAGGGGAGACCCACCGCGGTGTGACACTCACACAGCAGGCGAGACAGCAGCAGAGGGTCGCCCAGTGGGGAGCAAAGGACACTGCACACACAGAGGAGGACCCGCCCTCGCCCACCGGGGCTGCCATAGCAACGCCGCAAACTAGGGGGTCAGAAACCACGCTGCAGCTGATGCCAACAGCCCACCATGGGAGGCTGGGAGTGCTGGGTCCAGACAAACCCGGGCTCGGCAGGGCCTGCTGACGCTCAGACTTCTTCCCCAGCATCCTTGCATGGTGGGAGAGGCAGGGAGCTCCCTGGGCCTCCGCATAAAGACCCTAATTCCACTCACAGGGCCCCCACCCCTTGTCCTGGTGACGTCCCGAAGGCCACCTGCGACATTGTGCTGGGGGTGGGATTCGACTTCAGCACAGGAATTTGCTGGGACAGGGACCTCAGACTGCAACGGGGGAACAGAAGCTGCCGCCTTCAGCAAACACAGCGACCTCCCTGGGAACACGTTCCTGCTGCTGCAGACTTCTGCTCCTCACTGAAGCCATGCCGACAGTAGCAGCCACAGTCTGCGCCCTCTGAGCGCCTCAAAGCAGGTTCAAAGATGGGATGGGGGGGTGGGGAGCGTGCATTTGCCCTGGGCAGTGTTTGCCATTCCCTGTCTACAGCCTGAGACAGTCCTGTTTCCACGCCCCACTGTGTTCCCCTACGAGTTTGTCATCGTCTGCAGAGGGCACTTTTTGTAAAGCCTGACTGTAACGACCTTTACAATCAATCACCTGCAAAGGTTGACAGCGGTGCAATGATCTTTAACTTTGGTCTGGGCCAGCTGACTTCACTTATTAAAAATGGGGCTTGCCCAGCAAGCTCGAGGTCCTGAGTTCAATTCCCAGTTGCAAAAAACAAGAGAGAGCATGCAATGAGGGAAGAGCCGGGCACGGCGGTGCACACCTGTGATCCCAGCACTTGGGAGGCTGAGGCAGGAAGAGCGGGGCCAGCATGGTCTACACAGTGAGTTCAGTGCCAGCCTGAAAGCCACAGTGAGACCCTGATTCAAAAAACAAAGCGCGGAGGGAGGAGGAGGGAGGAAGATAATGTGGTGAGAAGAGTGGTGTGAACAGTCTTAGAAAGGACATCGACAGTGCAAGGAAGCAGACAGAGCTGCGAGGGCCAAGCGAGCACCAGCGGGTGGACCTTACTTCCGGACCCACGATCACCATGTAGACGTTGGGCTCTTCTTGGTGCCATTCTTGGGAAGAAAAAAGGAAAAAGCAGACTTTAAAAACGAATCACGGTCACCGCCAAGCAGAAATCATTCCATCATACACACTGTTTCACAGGACTTTGCCTTTATAATATTAGCCAACTTAAACTGTATTTACTTAGGATTCGTATGTTTGACATGTTAAGTTTTTAGCTGAGATTTTGATTTCCACAGTGCTATACATTATCCAGATTTCTGATGGAAAGTCAGGAGGTTGTTACAGTTTATATCCAGGTGTCCCCCAAAATTTCGGGGGCTCACAGGGGGGCTTTTGGGGAGGTGACTGGATGGTGGGGGCATGATACCCATCACTGGGCGAGTCCCCTGATGAGTTTATGCTTGAGTGACTTTGGAAGGTGAAGCTTGGTGGGAGGAGGTGGCCTGGCCACTGGGGCGTGGCCTGGAAGATCCACCTCCCTCCTCCTCCCTTGATCCTTCCCTGTTCCCTGTCTGCCCTGGAGTCAGCTGACCACGGACTGAACCCTCTACACACTGTGCAGTAAAATACACCGCTCCTCCTTAAGCTGTGGGTACAGGGTACTGTGTCTCATGGTCATGGTTATTTTTCTCTCATCGCTAAGACAAAATACTTGACGCCCAAGATGAAGGAAGGGAAGCTTTGCTTAGCTCACAGTGTGCTGAGGTTTCAGTCCAGTCAGCTGGCTGCAAGGTGGGGTGGCGTGGCGTGGCACGGGGGCAACACTTCAAGGCAGCAGCCAAGACAAAAAGAGAAAAACAAGCCTCTTCTCCTCGCTGTAGCCAGCGCCTCCCTCCAGGGCGGGTACAGCTCACACACCATCTCCTGCCCTCCTCTGGCCCAGGCTGAGGACGTTTACATACCAAGTAAGGCCCCTGGCTCCCTGCTGAGCCTCTCAGTTAAACTTCTAAACCTCTCCAGCTGACACAGCAACACTCAGTGATAAAAAAGTCACAGAGACAAACCAGTACAGACTGCAGAGGAGACTGGAGAGAAGTGAACCAGCACAGGCAGGTGTTGGACAAGGCGCCTGTGCAGAATACGTGGAACGAAGGCTAATTTTATTCCTTTCCTCTCTCCTATGTATGCTTTTCAGATGTTTTATTTTAATATTTTAGTTAATTCGTTGTACTCCTCGGAACCCATGGATATAGGAAGGCAAAAAAAAAAACCTGAACAGAAATTTCTACCGGGACCTGCGGACCCCTCCAGGTGTCTTCCCGACTGTTTCCAAAGCAGTCTCAAAACCCTTCTGCTTGTGCACAGAATAAGAGGAAAGGCTCAAAGCCCCGAGGGATGGGCGTGCCGCACAGGCTCGATTCCAAGCCCACCTGAGAACGCGTCCAGCAGGTACAGAGGGTCCTTCACGCGCCGGAGCCCACACACGAGCAGGAACACGCGCAGGCTGTTGGCACTGGGCTGGATCTCTGCAACACAGGATGAGCGCACGTCAGCGGGGTGGACGCTCCTGCTGGGCCGCTGTGTCCCCCGTCCCCTCTCCTAGCCCTGAGCCTCACTTCCTTGCTGCGAGCCGCGCCCTCTCGGCCCTGAGGTGTCACCCTGCAGCCATGGGGAGACAGGAGGCTGCAGAGCCAGCCCTGCTGGCACTTGAGTGCGAGCCCAAGAGGCCCCGGAAACACTGCACCCAACTCAAGATGGGAAAACACCTGGATTAACTAGACTGAGGTGTGGTGGTGCACACCCGCAATCCCAGCTAAGGGAGGCTCAGACAGGAGCATTGTAAATGCAAGTCCGGTGAGGGGAGCAACTCGGTAAAACCCTGTATCAAAATAAAATGCATGGAGAAGCACCAAGGTTGAGCTCAGTGTGGAGCTCCCAGCCTGCACAGAGCCCTGGGTTTGATCCCCTGCACACAAAGAAAGAAAAAGCAAGCAGAGGCCATGGCCCGAGCAGTAGTGTACCACTGTGCGCCTGGATTCACACACACACACACACACACACACACACACACACACACACGCCAAGTCCACGCAGCTCAGGAATGAGCCTGCAGCTCTGGGAGGCACGCACGGGTCTAAAATCATTATGCCGTGATATGCTTAGTTTTAATGTGTCCATTATACCTCAATAAAACCAGGAAAAAGTTTAAAAATAAAGGTATGTTTCTGTATTTAAAGGCAGGCAGTAGAGGCTTAGGTTTGCCAGATGGGAAGCCGTCACTTGAGACTGGCCGTGGACACCCAGGCTGTGGAGCTCTCTGTCCCACCCCAGCCTCTGGCTCTCTGACCTCTGCTCACTCAGTGGAAGCCTCTGCATGACCTCCACCCTCCCCCAGAGGCCCATGGTGTTCCTGTCACCTGTAGGAGCCTTGTACCCATAGGTACCCTGTAGCAGGGCTCAGCCACCTCTCGGGAACAAGACTTCATGGGGAGACACAGACCCTGCCTGGTTTGGCCCCAGATCCCTGGTGAAGCCACACCAGGAGGACTCGATGGACGTCAGTGCCTGCAAAGATCACTGAGCGCAAAGGACGTGTACGGAGCAGACAGGAGCTGCTCAGCTAAGCTGGGAAGCCAGGACGGCGTCCACCACAAAACCTTGAGACTCCGGGGACTGTCCAAGCCATGCCAGGGGTGTACAGCTCCCCAGAGGCCCCCTTCAACAGCAGCCACTCCTGCTCAGGGAAGACCATTTCCTTTCCCAAGGTTTTCTCAGTCTGGAACAGGAACGTCCTTGGTCTGATGGTCACAAGGCACCGACTAGGAGAGGGATCACCAGACTTTAAGATGGCAGAGAGACATTTCCTGACAGGGCGTCTCTCTCGGCAAAGGCTGGGAGATCATCCCGAGGGCTGGGGTGTGGCTCGGTGAGGAGCCCTTGCCCAGCACACCTGAGACCGTGGGCTCCAGCTCCCAAGGCTGCAAAACTAAAAATGAGCAAAATCATAGGGTCTCGCAATTAACTGTAGCAACTGCACCCTGAGATACTTTGTGAGTGTGGTTTTACACCTACTGCCAACTTGAGTGCTCAGCATGCAGAGAGAAATGTGGGTCAGAGAACTCGAGGTCAGGCCCTGGCCCTGCACTGCCCCGGGTCTCTTGGGGAGGCATCAGGGAGAGGGGGATGCACAGGTGTAACAGCGTGCACTGCGTGTTGACGGCAACTCCTGCACCACAATGCGTGTGCCACACACACACCCAGCCAGTGTGTGACTTTACAAGGTGCTTTAGCTTGACTACGGACAGGACGGACGGACAGGGCGCTCTGATGTCTCCAGATCTACTTCACTTCCTGTTTCAGAGTGCCGGGGCCTGGCTCCCTACCCAGATCGGGAGCTCCTGACCCGGGCGGGCTGGGGGAGGAGCAGGAGGGAACCCTACAGTCCTCGCCCTCCTCTCGAGCCTCTGGAGATGAACCCAATGGGAACTGAGAAAGGGGGTCAGAGGAGAGCAGAAAGGGCCCACTGCTCTTAGGCTAGGTGTTTAGAAAATCAAATTCGGACCTGACATTTGGCTTTGTCTGGTTTGTGTGCACGTGGGGCACACAGAAGAGCCGTTTCCCCGGAAATAAAGACCGCAGTAGAG